GTTCTATAAATAAGGCCTCCCTTCTCCTATTTTGAGGTTACGAGCATTACGGAGAGGCCTAGGGACGAATTTAACACCGTTTTTACGCTATTTTCTTCAAGAACCCTGAGATTATTTGTAAGTTCATCTTTTACTTTTACTTTTCAAAATCACTTTTTTTCTCAAACACTATCAACTTTTACTACTAATCACTTTTTCCTTACATTTCCAAAAGTGCTTTTTTAAGCAGAAGCAGTTGCAAACATTCCCTTAAGTATAAAAAACATTAGAGCCCTATTTAGGTCTATTAGGTAAGCTACGGTCCTATTTAGAATCATTTCTCAAAAAATTATTACTTCGGACTTTAGGTATGATAGTATATTGTGATATCATTTATTTTGAAAATATAAATGTGTCGGCCGCCGGCCGGTATGCCAAACATTTCTGGTAAATTCGGTATTTTTTGATATGGTAAATGCGGTATACCGAAGTTTTGGTATTTTTGCCAACCATAGCTACTTCATTTTCTCTTCTCCCTTTTGGCCTTTTGGGGGTTAGGTCATAAATAATACTAATTAAAAGCATTTGGACAAATATAAGACTCTTTTTATTGGTTTCCAAAAAAGTGACCATCCGTTGGAATCATTTAAAATCTCGGAGGAAATATTTGATTTTGTTTTACAAAGAGGAAATATTTGAGATACCCTTGCTAAATACTACCTCCGTTCTCTTTTAGTTGCAACGTTGGACTTTTTGCACTATTCACATATTCTACTTTGACTACATTTTATTAATTGATGTATTATAAATTAAATTTTTAAAAAATATTGTTAAATTCTTCTCATTCAAAATTTTCAAAATATGAATTTTTCAAATTTTTTACTAATACGGAATGAAAGATATTAATGGTCAAACTTGTGCGTTGGCAAACGTGAAATATTGACTGTTGCAATTAAAAAGGAACGGAGGAAGTACGTAGTAGTACGTAGCATTCCTCAGAGGCTCCTATCAATCTCCAGGGAGCCGTCAACGACCAATAAAAGAGGTGTTTGACTTTCATACCTCTGTTATGATTTGCAAGTTACTTGACACGATTAGTTACCTTTATCCAACTCAACCAGTTACAGTTATCCATCCGACCAATTACAGTTACCTGACCCGATCGACCAGTTACAGATATCTATCCGACCAATTACAGTTACCTAACCCGACCAGTTACAGTTACACGTCCGACCAGTTACAATTACCCGTCCAACCAGTTACAGTTACCTGACCCGACCAATTAATACAAATTGACCAAATTAGTTGCATTTATCTGACCCGATCAGTTATAGTTACTGATAACTCCGTATTTAGACACGCACTTGATGCGTGTTCGGGTCGGAGACACGCACTTGATGCGTGTTCGGGTCGGATTTTGATGGTTTTTCTAGCTTTAAGGCGTTGCAAGACTCAATTTTGGCTCAAGTTGTGTTTAGCAGGCATTGGATCGAGTTTTGTTGCAATTGAAGTTGAATTGAAGAAGTTAGAGTCCGACAATCGGCGCTTGAGAGGCATTCGGGAAGGATTTGAAGGCATTCAAGAAAGATTTGAGAGATTTGGAGGTCACCGGGAGATTCACGATGAAATTCTGATGAAGAAAGAGAATTTGGATCGACCTCGTAGGCATTCGGGAGCATTCGGAGCAAGAAACGAAGAAAAAAGATGAAGAAAAGGTCAGGCACGACCGTGCCTAGGGCAGGCACGATCGTGCCTGCATTAAGGATTGCACACCGAGACACTGCCAGCCAGACACGATCGTGTTCTGGCCAGGCACGATCGTGTCTGCAATCAATACGCGCGCATGCTCCGCAGGCATGATCCCAGGCACGATCGTGCCTGGCATCGTGTCTGGCCCCGAATTGTCCTATTTCAGCTCAAATTCTCCTGTTTTCTATAAATAAGGCCTCCATACCCCTTTTTACGAGGTTACGAACTTTGTGGAGAGGCCTAGGACGAGTTTTACCTGCGTTTTTACGTTGTTTACTTCGAGAACCTGTGATTCTTTGTAAATTCAATTCTTTTAATTAATGACAATTTATTCTATACATCCCAATTCTTTTGATTCGTCAATTATAAGGCGTGAATAATTTAATTAGGGATTTGGGGTTGATGAAGGGGTTAATCATGATTGATGGCTAGATTCTTGTCGGTTTAATTGCATGAATACCGTTTAATTTGTGTTTGAATAATTTAACTGATATCTCTTGTAACCTAGAATCGCGACCAGAATTACAATTCCATGTGAAATGAATTAAGAGAGATCTAATTTGTTCTAGGACCGATTCACACACACTTAATCGTTCGCTAAGAGATTAGTAGCGATTAAGGGGCCGTAAGCTCGCTCGTCTTGGCAATAATTTAGGATCCTGTCGCATGAGAGATCAGCCTGGACCCCTAAATTATTGTACTCTTCGCCGCAAAAGCGGTAAGAACTTAGTAATGATTAGATAGGCTCAATTAAATTAAATTCATGTAATTAGGCCCGTTCTGCCAGAAATCTGGTTAACCCCGGAATCAATCCTTGTTCCATTCGTCGTTAATTAAGGAAAACCCAATCTTTTTACTTGCTCATTAGCATTAATTTTATTTTAATTAATCAATCTCGCACAATTGCATTTTATTTTATTTATTTCTTTTTAATCGCTGAAATTTAGTTAATCTTTATTTCCCTTTTATCCGTCCCTGTGGAGACGATACTCATACTTTCCACCACTTTTCTACAACTATTTTAAGTGCGAGAAAACACACATCAGTTACCTGAACCTACGAGTTACAATTACCCGAACTGACCAGTTACAGTTACCCGGACCGACATGTTATAGTTACACGGCCAGAACCACGGGTAGCAACCACCGTAGGCCACCAGGCCAACACCGCCAGCCCCCAGGCCACCACCGCGGTTGTTGCCAGACAGTGAGCCCCCGTCCCATAGCCTACCCTCCCTAGGCCCCAACACTCCTCCCCACCGGCCTCCGCCCCCCAGATTCCCTAGCCCCCAGTGGTCAAGCCCTCCCGATCGCCACCTCCCTGACGGTGACTGTTGCCTTCCCAGAACGTACCTTGAAGCGAACCAGCCCCCTCCCAAGCCCTAGCCCTTTCTCCAGCATCCCAATCGCCCACCCCATAGCCATAGCCGCCACCCAAATCAACCACACGGCCGCCCATATCAACCGCACGGCCGTCCAAATCAACCTTACGTCGATGTGAAACCATGGCCTGAGCGATTAGGCGGCGCACGAACATAAAAACAAGGAGAAAGTGAGAGAGGGATGAGCTTGTAGGAGAATGCTATGAACGTATATACGAAGAAGAACGAGAAGAAGGCAATCTAAAGCTCATATATTTCGAATAAAAAAACCATAGGCTTAATATAGCCATTTTACATGAAATATTAACCACAAAAGTGAATAACTACTTCCTAATTTGTAGCCACACTTAAACGTGTTCAACAACTTAACCAACTAAGTGATAATGACTCCTAAGTCCTACACAATAGGTAAAAGCATCAAGACTTATTCAAATGATAATCAGTGAATGATCAGGTTGGATCATTTTCAACGGGGCTCGAGAGGGCCTGTGGCGGCGTATGACGGAGGTTGACAGGACGTGCGAGGCTGAGGTGATGTGCGCCTGGGATGAAGGTTTGTTGCGCAGTTATAGCAAATGCAGAAGAAGCGCAATAGGAAAACCGTACATATGCGAAAAAGAAGAGGGTAATTTATTAGTCTGGTCATTTATAACGAGTCTATTTATTGTCTATATTCAGATAGGTTTTATTTTTGTCCATTAGAAGGTCCCATGTATTATTTATGTCATTATTTCTTGTTCTATTCTTCACTCTTCCCTCAGAGGAATGTACCCGGGACTACCTTCCTTGAGTCCGACTATTCTTCAAGACTAAACATAAGGCCTTGTTTGGTTCAAAGGAAGGGAGGGAAGGGGAGGATCAAGGAGGGAAGGAAAGGGAAGGAGAAGGAAGAATTTTGATAAAAATTTGTGTTTGGTTCGAGGATATAGGAGGAAAGGATTAATGAAAACATTTTCCCAGTTTACCTTTATTTGATAGCTTACTTAAAAAATTAGATACATCTCTAACTATTGTAAATATTACTCCTAAGATCATGAGTCACAATATTTTTATTTATTTATGGGAAAAGAGGCAAATAAGCCCTCGAACTAATAAAAAAAGTGCAAATAAGCCCTTTTGTAGGAGATTTCGTCTGTCTATCGTCATTTGGGGAGGTTCCTGGTGGAATTTTTTGATGAAATTTTTTGAGCATCTTATTCATTAAGTCTAGTTTACCCATACAAAATTTCAGCTAAAAATTCAACCGGGAAGGCAGTCAAATGAATTTTTTAAGATAACTGCGCAGTTAAACAACGCAGTGTAGTTCCGAAAATCATTTGAGTGCCTTCCCGATTGAATTTTTAGCTGAAATTTGGTATTGCTAAACTAGACTTAATGAAGAAGATGCTCAAAAAAATTCATCAAAAAATTCCACCGAGAACATCTCCAAATGATGATGATCGGACAGAACCTCCTACAAAAGGGCTTATTTGCACTTTTTTTATTAGTTCGAGGGCTTATTTGCCCCTTTTCCCTTTATTTATTTATTGATTTTTTACTTTTTCAATTTTTTTAATCTATTAACATTTTAATTTTTTAATTCTTAAACTTTTAAATTTTTTATTTACCTTTTTATATTATAACATTTTTGGTTATTCACGTAAGAAATGGATAGTTTGTGATTATCAATACGTTTCCTTCGAAATACCGCGATTTGGGAGATTTAGAATGAAAGGAAATGGAGGATTTTGGAAGCCTTCCACTTTCCCCCCTTCTCCCCTATTTCCTTCAACCAAACACACATAAATCACTCACTTACCTCCCCTCCCCCCGAAACCCTCCAACCGAACAGGGCCTAAGAGATCGTCGGGACAGTATCCTAACATACCTAAAATGTGTCAATTGCAATAGCTTAAAATCAAATTTAAATTTTGGGTAAATTTTCAAAATAGGAATTGGAACAAGTGTCAAAAGTTCCTTCAGATTTTTTATTTGTTGACAGCTTTAATAAACTTTACATGCATGCATATCCTTGTAATGTTATCTCGGATAAAACTCACTAGTTGATACTTCATTTACAGACAAGGGAAGTGAATCCCTTCTGGTCTCTGATCTGTCACTACTACAGAATCCCGGGTGACATGGGACCGGCCGGCTGACAGAATAACTACTGAGCATGAGAACGATATTGGCCATCGTAGGCCTCTTGTCAATATCTTCTTGAACGCACAACAAGCCCAAATGGATGCATTGGATGACTTCATTTCTTGAGTGGGTGTCTCCAAGGAAGGGGTCCAATATCTCTAAAGGCCTACCGTCCTTCCAATGTTTCCAAACCTACAAAACAGATGAAAGTACTACCATTAAGAATCCATTTGGTAGCACTAAAATTTGAATTAATTGAAGTGATTAAATTAGCTGAAACTGATGAAATTCTTATTGAAGCGGCGAAATTTTCTAAGTTATGCGAAAAATATACTCCGTATTTGTAATACTCTCTCCGTCCCAATTTGTAACACTTTACTAGTTTATGATGCTTGACCGACGATAAAACAAACAGATCCTTGTTCGCACTCAAATTATTTTTAGAAAAAAAATTTACATATTTAGAAACTATATTAAAAACTTTATAAAGACGCAAAAACCATAATCAAATTTGATATATATAGTAAAAAGTTAAGAGTGATTTGTGTTGACCAAATGAATATGAAACATACCACATACTATCTTACAAATTGGGACTGGGTGAGTACAAAGTATATTTTATTAATAACATAAAGAAAAAATTATATGAAAAAAATATATAAAATGGTTCTCTACATGCAAGAACTTTCAACCAATTCAGCCACAAAAGTAACTCCAATCTTACTGACTTTGAGTATTAAAAAATTAAATGTTATGTGTTTGATAAAAAAGTTGATCAAGTTGATAAAGCTGAAAATGGATGTTTGCTAACGGGATCTAAGTTATTATAGTAGAAAAATGCTAGAGGTACACGTTTTTTGTACACGTTTGGGGTACACTTGTCTGTCCTTCACAGACAAATTGTCTGTCACCTTTATAAAGATATAATAAAAAAGTGAAAGGTGAGATTATTTATATGATTTTCAAAGAAAGGGTAAAAAACCTGGTATAGTATGTCATTAACAGGTTAGGGTCCAATGAAAGAAGATGAGATGTAAATGTGAGATTATTCTGGGATTATTATGAGAAAATCAGTTAAAGGTGAGATTATTCTTGTCCATTTTCCCACTTTCAAATAAGTGCTTCGATAAGCTTTCATTTGATCTACCAAAGAAAGAAACGTTTCATACTTTGGGGGGCTCTACGAAACACAAACTATTACTCACATAGCTAAGAAGATATTGTGCATCACTTGTGGTATCAGTGAAGTTGGATATCTTTTTCCCAGTTATGATTTCCAAAATAAGGACACCGAAACTATAAACATCGGTCTTCACTGAGAATTGGCCGTGCATGACATACTCCGGGGGCATGTAGCCACTGCAATACATACACAAAATCTATTTATCTTAGTACATATACATAGTTCGATCTAGTTCGCAATTGTATATTTCCTAGCTTTTTGTATTATTTAACTAATGTTTCATACTTACTAAGTTCCAACAACTCTCCTTGTATTTCCTTGGGTTTGATCGACTCCAAAAATTTTGGCCGTTCCAAAATCTGCTATTTTCGAGTCCATATTTTCATCGAGCAGTACGTTGCTTGCTTTGAGGTCGCGGTGAATGATTCGAAGGCGGGAATCTTCGTGAAGGTAAAGCAGGCCTCGTGCTATCCCTTCTATGATCTTGTAACGCCTTGACCAATCCAATAAGAACCTCTTTTCAGCATCTCCATTTTTTGGGTACCCAAATCACCAAATGCATATACTTCTCAAGGTTAATATTACTCAAATTATATTTAATAAACGAAATATGTAGTATTTAATTATATTTAAAAGCAACATATATAAAAGCAAAAGGATGCATAAGAATGGATAGTAGAGAACAACAAAAATAATAGGACACAAACGTGATTATATGCTTTGAAGAAAGCAAGGAGGGAAGTAGTGGAAGATCCAATGAGGAATAGGCCATGAATATATGAAATTATTGTGCTATTTTAAGTGAGTTTTTTTTATTCATTCCAATTAAACTTATTGCAAATAAGTATTTAGAACTGTATAATAACTTTATTCAAAATAAGAATTTCTTATACGTAATATAATTTATCCCAGGGATGGAGCTAGGGGAGGGCCAACCTGGGCCTTGCCTTGCCTCAAATTAAAAAAATGTCTTTATTTTTAGTGTAAAAAAATTCAGATGTTTTTCCAAAATATATTCTTTGTATTGGCCAGTACCCTGACCTTGCTCCTACTCTGTCCCCTTTATTTGGCCAACTTTGTCTTTTCCAGTCAAATATGATAAATTTTGATCCATTTTTTGAGAGAGGGTACAAGATGGGAAGGATGTGGTATCATTTCTTAAAAACTATGGTGCCATTCTTTAAAATTTCAATTTACATTATATATACATATACACACTGCTAAGCCTGGTTGTTCTGATTATTAAACCGATATATTCACAATATACTAGAATTGGATACCAAACGGGACCTAAAATTTCGAACAATAAGAAGTGAAATATATGACTTTTCGAGTTTGGAACTAACCAAATAAGAAGTAGTCAAGACTCTTGTTGGGCACAAATTCATAGATTAATATCTTTTCTTCTCCTTCTGAGCAATAGCCAAGCAGCCTTACTAAATGTCTATGTTGCAGCTGGGCCACTACTTCAACTTCATTCTTGAACTCTTGGGCCCCTTGACCCGATGTTCTCGAAAGCCTTTTTATAGCTACATCCAGCCCACTGGGAAGTTTTCCCTGAATGTAGTTGTTTGACAATCAGTAAGATGTTATAGAATAGACAAGCAAACAATTTGTTTCCGCTACGCTTTTATTACCTTGTACACGGAACCATATCCACCTTCACCAATTTTACTTTCGGGAGAAAAATCATTTGTAATTCCTTGAATAGTAACAAAACTGTATTGCAGGGACTCCTTACTTGAAATTCCAGACACATCTACGTGAAATTATAAACAGGAAAAGATGACAAAAAAAATTGTTGAAAATTAGGTAAGTGATAATCAAACAAAAGGAGAGAGACATAAATCCGAGTAATTATGGATTGAACCTCTTATGTGTGCTGTTTTGGATCGTTTCTTGACATTTCTAATTCTCACACAACACAATATTGCGATGAAGAGTATAATCCCAACGACCGAAACTACAATGACAATAATAATCCCTTTTGAAGAAGAATGTTTCTTCTTTCCTGCATACACATAAATAAACAAAATTAAATAAAAAAACATTTTTCAGCTGAAAGGATATTATATTATGATGGTATAGTTATTGACTTTTGAAAAATTCTAGTCATACATAAAAAGTGTACACTTTTGTGTATACAGAAAAGTGTTGTTTTGATTTATGTGGTATTAGGATGTTTGTACTTGGACTGTAATTTGCTGGTCTGGTCTGGTTTGTTTAAGTCTGGTCTTGTATAGTCTGGTCTGAACTGGTCTGGTCTGTTCTGGAAAATGTCCGGTCTCTGTGTATTTTATAACTACGAAAGTCTGGTCTCATCTGGTCTGTTTAAGCCTGGTCTGATCTGATCTATTTAAGTCTACTCTGGTCTGGGACTGAAAACAGTCCAAGTAAAAACATCCTTAATCTTAAAATAGGTGTACATAGAGTCTTGACTACTTATTTGGTTAGTTCCAAACTCGAAAAGTCATATATTTCACTTGACATTTATTGTTTGAAATTTTAGGTCCCGTTTGGTATCCAATTTTAGTATATTCTGAATGTCGGTTTAATAATCAGAAGAACTAGGCTTAGCAGTGTGGTGTCAATTAAACATTATGTGTCTATGTATATATACATGTAATTAATGTGGTACACAATGTCAAATAGATAACACCATGTGTTGTATTCTAATATTTCTCGCCTGTCCCACATAAGCTCTATAGTAAACTTGACCAATACCCAAGTGTGTTGGCAACCATGAAACTACAGGACTTCGAGTTTTTTAAAAAAATATTACTCAAATAAAATCCATTAAAATACAGTGGTGGTTTAAATATAAAAATGAAAATTTATTAACATAAGGGAGAATGGGGCTAGATAGCTAGAGATGAGGATGGAGAATTTTTAAGAGCAGGTGGTGCCTCTCACACGGCCGGAGGGACTGCTGCAGAAACAGAGGCTATGTATTTTCCGGACCAGTTAACTTGCAAAAATGATTTGACGACCTTTCCGATTGAATTTTTTGCTGAAATTTGGTATGGATGAACTAGACTTGATGAGGAACATACACAAAAAATTTGAGCAAAAATACCACCGGCAAGGCCCCCAAAACGAGGAGGCCGGACGGCGCTCCGATCAGGAAATTCCTGACCGAAAGATTACACTCTCTCTCTCTCTCTATATATATATATATATACATATATATATATAGGAAAAATTGATAGTAATAATCCCAACTATTGGCGGTCCGCTCATAATAATCCCAACTATTGATTATTCCAGAATAATCCCAACTTTATGGACCTTCCGCCAATAATGGTCCCTATGAATAAATTCTTGTAGTTTCTAAAGTGGATGAGATGAGATATAACAAGTAATCCCTATAAATAATCTCAAACTTTTAATTTTTACACTTAATTTCTATTTAAAATTCACTTTTTATAGAGGTAATATCTGGTCATGGACCATTATTAGCGGATAGTCTATATAGTTGGGATTATACAAAAATAATCAATAGTTGGGATTATTTTCAGCGGAGCGGCAATAGTTAGGATTATTATTTCCAATTTTTCCTATATATATACACACAGAAATGCTCAGGTCCCTCCGGAGGGACGGGAGGGACCGTCCGAACTTTACTGTTTGGGGAGGTTCACGGTGGAATTTTTTGATGAAATTTTTTGAGCATGTTCCTCATCAAGTCTAGTGCACACTGTGAGCTTCAATATGTAGTACAAATAATATGCAATATGCAATACAAATAATGTAAAGATGCACACTTTGTGACAGTTTGCAGGTTAGCATGAGAGGACTAGTTTGTATGTGATCTCACCCCTATACACACACTCCCTCCGTTCCCGAAAATACTTCCCACTTTCCTTTTTGGGCTGTTCCGAAAAATACTTCCTACTTTCCCATTTGGATAATTTGTGTGGTTCACATTCACTTTACCTTTTTCTTACACAACTACAATCATTCATTTTCACTTTATTCCATTTTCTTAATAAGCGTGCCAAGTCAAACCGGAAAGTTTTTTTAGGAACGGAGGCAGTATATAAAAAAAGGAAAAATAAGTTTTATGACTAAAGTTAATAAAGTAGTTAAGAGGTCACATTTTTGTAAACAATAAATATTTTTGGCATAGATACATACTTCCTCCATCCCAATATAAATGTCTTGTTTGCTTTAGCACAAGTTTTTCAGAAATTGATTGAAAAGGTAAAAGTTGTGGTTGAGATTTGAGCAGAAAAAGTTAAATTGATATGAGCCACACATTATTGCCAAAAGTGGAAACATGATAATTATTTTGGGATGGACCGAAAAAGGAAAGCAGAAAACTTATTTCAGAACGAAGGGAGTAATTATTTCTATAAATAAACACATTGAATGCGAACACATATTAAAAAGGAATTTACTTGTTTGAAAGAAGATTTATCAATAAATAGAAATTCAAATAAGTATTAAAATTAAATTTATTCAGTTAAAGTGATAAACCATACTCCAAATGTGTGAATATAAATATGTACTGCCTCTTGTAATTTATACTACATACTACCCCTGTCCCCCTAAGTTTGGGACAAAGGAGTGTTGTGTGGTTACGTTTTTTTGAAAAAGTAAAAATGAATTCTAACTACACAAATATTACCAAATATGCTATGAGTCAAACTTAATGAGACGAACGAAAAATATAAAATGAGACAACATTAGGAGGACAGATGGAGTATTAATTAGTATACTTCGCATCATTTCTAAAGTCACTCATCCCTTTCTATTTTAGAGCTCGTTTAGGGTTTTAATGCACCAAACACCCCTGTGATATGAAAATTCGGCGCATTAGCCCCTGTGATTTGAAAAATGCATGAAATCCCCTCATGTTTTAATTAATCATGCACAAAACCTCTTTTATGAATAAATTTAACGATTTGAAAACCTCTCAAACCACAACTCTCCATTGTCTCTCGAAAACCCCTAATTCTCCAGGGGGTGTGGAATATTCCCCTTTTTCTCAGAATAAAAAAGGATATCGTTAAAGTCTCCTATCATCATCCATGGGTTGTTTTCCCTACCGCCAGATCCTCCATCATCTTCCATGCTACTCTTCGTCGACTATGTCAGGGAACCATAATAACCTGTTAATCGCCATGGCACTTCGTTATCTCTCAACACAACCCTACTGTCAACAAAATTTTGGTCAACCTTTAAATATCCACTTCGACATCTTCATTCCACCCCAAGACCAGCCCCCCGCATCGCCCCACATTGTCTATCCCCTCTGAATTAGCAAAACTTTTCGCCCGTAGGATCTCTTTTGCACGCTAACATCGAACTTTCGTTTCCATTAAGAAAACAATTGTCGGTCGGTACTGGCTGACCAGATCAGTAAGACATTGGATGGTTGCCGGGTTGCCAAGACCTCTACAATTCCAACTCAGAACACTCATTAAACCCAAACTTTTCCTTCTGCTGCAAAATTCAAGTCACACCCCTGCAGTGAGATTATAATCAGTCTCTGCCTCTGACTTTTACTTCGGCCCTAAGAGCCGAAAGAGATTCTTTGCAACAAGGCTTGAACTAAGTGAATCTATCGAAGTCCAGAAAGTCTCCGAATTCTCTGCTCTTTCTGTGACACACAATCGAGCCGCACTCCTGCAGCAAAATTCAGTCCGCACCTTTTGTCTCGCCGCTGAGCTTGAAAGCCAAAAAGAATCCTGAATGTCATCGGTAGGAGATAATCGATCCACACCCTAGGAAGAAATCCGGACTGAGCGACCAAAACGCCACCGCCGGTAGTAACCTGCTAGGCACAAAACCTAGAGACGTCTGTAGTCCTACTTCGCATCATTTCTAAAGTCACGCATCCCTCTCTATTTTAGAGCTCGTTTAGTAGTCCTCTCAACTATTAGTTTTATCGATTTTCTACGTTTTGGCCCTACAACTATTAGGGCTTGTTTACTAATAGAGATATTTTCCAATTTTCTTTTTCCTTTTCCATTCTTCAATTTTCTATTTTCATTTTCTAGTTTTTGTATCTCCAATTTTCTATTTTTCATTTTTTAGTTTTTCATTTTCAAATATGGAAACATGTTTATCAATTTTTTTCACCGGGTTTTATGACCAACTAGAAGACCAAAAGTACGGCCATAGTCCAGAACCGAACCAAATACAACCCAAGTAGTCGATCTCATTTCCTTATTGGTTGACAACTCCAGGGCTTGGTTGTCGATAGAACTGTATAAAGACTGTTAAGTCATTGGTCGGACAGGACGGGGACCGCCGTATCATTGGCTGGAAAAGGACACCCGAGTTGTTGACCGGACCGGACAGGGACCGCCAAGTCGTCGACCAGACCGGATCAGATCGGGACTTCTCGGGTGTCGACCCGGCCGAACAGGTACTGCCTGGTCGTGGATCGGACCGGATAGGGACTGCCTGGTCGGCCATCGACTAGACCGGACAGAGGCAGGCGGATCATTGACCGGACCAGATCGTACCGTCAGGTCATTGACCGTACCAGATAGGGATCATCGGGTTTTATTAAATTCTACAATTTGCTGTTTGATTTTAATAATTGACGGGATAAGAATGTTTTTATTTGGACTATAATTCGTCTCAGACCAGACCAGACTTGGATAGTTATAAAAATACAAAGAGACCACACCAGACCAGATCAGACGAGACCACACCAGCTAGTTATAGTTCAAGTAAAAACATTCTAAAACTCGAAATTTGAAAAGTTATACCTTGACTGGGGGTAGAAACGGGAGGCGCACTGGAGGGAGGCGACGGTGCAGGAGAGGCAGCGGTGCTACTGTAGAAAGGGTATGTCTCATACCTTACATTACAGCTTGGGTAGATCGTTCTAGCGCCCAGTGCCGAATAGCAACACCCTGGCAGCCGTTGGATTGCACTCGCCAAACAGCTCCGGCAATCCAACACGGAAAGGTCCGGCGTGCACTGCCCCAGACTGTAGATCTTCTCAAGTGCCCAAAAATTAGCTTCCAGGGTCGCGAATTTCTTGCCGGATCTGTCCCCGGCCGCCGCCGCATTTGCCATCTGACTCAGCGTGTTCCCGACGGAGCGCATAAACTCCGCCGGTTGCGTATCATTGTGACTATTGCGCATGCTCAGCACTGTCGACTTGTCAGCTCTTCCGAAGATAGACACACCCGCGTAGCGCAACAAACAATTGTCGTACCAAATGTGGGCGGTCTTTTTATTCGGGCACCGCTGCAGTATATTCGTGCCGGCATCACTCACGCAGGCCGCGCACCCGGCTGTTGAGACGTCGCCGCGGCACATGAACAGGCCGTACGCGGTGGAGTTGCCGCTGCCGACGGTGGTGTTGTAGAAGCCGTTTGGGCGGGTGGCATTTGATGCGAGGGCGGAGAGGAGGGCCATGAGGTTGGAATGAAAAGTGCTGTTTGTAGTATAGGTGGTGGTGCTATTTGGGCAGTAGTTTCCGAGGGGTTGGGAGGCAGCTAGGGCGAGCAGGATGAAGAAGAAGATACAGGGGACGTGGTGAGGAAGAGGGTGATACATAATTCGAGCTGATTTTTTCCTTCCCAGAGAAGGGTTAATTTCATTTCTTCGGAAGAACGAGCGGCCACTGATGATTAATTGGAAGGATTTGGAGTTGACTCGCAAGTTGCCAGAACGGAGATTTACGAATGTGGGCAATGGTGGTGTACTTTTCAAACCATTGACCGAATAGCTTGGGCGCAATCGAGCTACTCAATTACGACTTCAATGATTTGCCACTGCCCACTGTTTATACAAAACTGTATTAATGTACAAAACTTGTACTCTCTCCCCTCCCTAATATTCATATCTTTTCACTTTCCTTTTTTAGATGTAACATTCATATCTTTCAATTTCTAAATCTTCTCATCATACTCTCAATAATTTTAAGAATAATACACTATTACACCTACTTTTTTTAAATTTATCCTACATTACATCACATTATTTCATTATCTTCTCATCATACCCTCAACAATTTATATCCACTTTCACTATTCTTAATTTACCTACTTTTCAAATGGGAACATATATATGTTAAGGAGGGAGTATTTCTTTGAGCTCTCATCATTTGTGTATTTTAACTGTCAAATAAACGCTCGAACTTACAAAAAAGTGCAAATCACTCCTTATAAACGGGTTGCTCCGTCCGGCCGAGCCCGTTTGGGCACCTTCCCGGTGGAATTTTTTGATGAACTTTTTTTAGCATGTTCCTCATCAAGTCTAGTTTGTCCATACCAAATTTCAGCTCAAAATTCGATCGGGAAGGCATTCAAATCATTTTTTGAAGTTGACTACAGTTTTCTATGTATATTTTGACGCAGTCAACTTCAAAAAATGATTTGAATGCCTTCCCGATCGAATTTTGAGCTGATATTTGGTATGGACAAACTAGGCTGTATGAGGAACATTCTCAAAAAAGTTCATCAAAAAATTCCACCGGGAAGGTCCCTAAACGGGCTCGGCCGGACGGAGCAGCCCGTCAGGCCGGCCTGACATGAAGATTTGTCTAAATAACTATATACCTGTTTATTTTATCTTATCAATGCATGCATGTGTGTATACCTAACTTCCATACATTAAAGTAATACGGAGTATATACATATATTCATAATAATATACGTATATGTGCATGCATGTAAAATTTGTACATATTTTTGAGACATGATAAACAGATACCTTTTTAATACAAAAATATATATGTACATAGCAGCTTGGTTTAAAAACACGGAATCATTTTATCCTACTTAGCTAAGTCAAATTTAATAGGATCATATCATTTCGCACTTAATAATATCTAAATTTGCTCTTAAATTTGACTAATCAGTTGGTCTATATATCAAATAAGATTTGATCGAAAACTAATACTCCATATTATTTCTTCTAAAAATGCTTAATAATAAAACACTAACACTAAATAATACTGAATACTATGTAACTGCAGGTTATATCATAAAACAGTAACAAATCATAAAGTAGTACATGCATGCCTAACCTATTCTAATCTATATTCCATTTAGTTATGTATTGTAAAACCATGATAATAATTGATCTAACCATTAATTTTACCTTTTTTTCTTCTTCTTCTTAATACTACGGAGCTAAGCTTTATTTCTAGCTGACCTTCGTATTGATTTAAACAAAGGTAATTACTATCAACTATGACATATTGAGGTGTCTACAAACTCAAAATTCTTGTAAATTAAGAACACATAGAGCATACAAAATTTCTAAGGCTATACAACGTTCATCATCCCCATAACACAACGGGAAATGGAGATGGAAATAAATTCAATAATCTAAATGGTCGGGACGGAGACGTACTGACCTTAAAGGCAAATTCTTCTAAAATTTTGTAGGTATGAGAACTCCATATACGGCTACACCTAGCTTCTTCTTCTTGTAAAGAGTTTATTTTGATGGATTTCCATACGGTATAAAATGGCAGGATCGAGTGGTCCGGTGGAGAAGGAGCTAAGTATCATTTAAATCCAAGTTGATCCCAAATCTCACCCCTAGTTTGGCCAATCAATAAATAGTTCATTTTTTTTAAAACCAAAATTATCCTACGTGTAAGACATGAAGATTTCAGCACACATATGTCCTCCTCTATCCTATTTACACGTATACTGATGGATTACCTTATCCTAGGAGTGGTCTTGACTATACAATCCCTATCATCATCTAATATGGTCCTATTATAACATGAGGCTTTACGTGGCTCCTTAGTTCATAATATCATTGCATGTAAATTTGGCCCCTTCCTATTCATATATGCAGCAACTTGATGATTATATTTGGAAGGATTGTAGGGGCAGGCCATTTTAATATAATTAACTTTCAGTGTCAATCTAATGTAATAATAAGTTGATCCCATCAGAATAGTTAAACTATATTAGTACGATGGTTTTGTTAATATTATTATTATTATTATTATCTTTATAAACCCACTACTAATACATTCAAATTGAGTCATCTAAAATCTGAGTTGAATGTTAACTAAAAATTAAAAAGTGTCATACGTAAAATTTACCGTGAGACTTAAACTAGTATATACCTCTCAAACCATATGATTTATCTTTAATTTAAACTTTAGTACCAAGTAATAGTAATAAATGTTTAATTGGTGTCGAATAATAATAGTAATAAATGTTTAATTGGTGTCGAATAAATAATAGTAATAAATGTTTAATTGGTGTCGAATAATTGGTGTCGAATAATAAATGTCGAATAAAATTTTGGGTGTTACATGGAGTCTAGGCATTCTTGTGCATAATCCCTCAGTCTTTTAAACTAGTCTTCAAATTTTGCATTCAAGGATTTAAGAACTGCATTGATAGCCCTGGCAACTATCCATACATTCACATTGATCTTCAAACTGTCCTTAATATGCTTTTTCAGTTCCATGTACCCTATACTTGAATTCTCAATTATCTTGGCCTCAAATTTATCTTGTATCCATTTCTGGCTAACCATATTCAAAGAAAACCTCTGGTTGCACCTATGTTCAAGAGCCAAAGTCTTAATCTGAAAGCAACCTAAGTTTCTTTTCCAAGAACCAAAGCAATGAAAGGGGCAGTTCTCTGCTCCACATACAACTCTAACCCTAAGTGGTTCATTTTTATCAAAACGAATGTCTCTTTTCTCATGTATGGCATACCTTATCAGGGCATTCTTGAAATTCTTTCCATCATCATACAATTTTCCCACTTCCAAAATCGGGGGATCTGCTTGTGGATTATAGAAAGGGAATTGATTTTTATCATTCTTCTTTGATGTATCTTGCAGCTCATTTTTAGACACATAACTAGGAGGGTCTTCACTGTCATAGTACAAACTCCCATCATCACTTCCATCTGAAGCATGATTGTCAACATAACTCTGATCATCAGCATCATGTGGATCTTCTTCTTGATCAGGAACATAATCTTCATCAGTGCCATCATCACCTTCACGAAACTCCTCTTCATGTCCTCCACTTGAAGCCTGATAAGCAACAACACTCACATCATGTTCACTCTCATTTTCTGTACTTGGAGTAAAAATGCATGCACCTACAAGATCACCTGATAACACTTCATCACCATCAGTTTCCTCATCAGCATTGTTTGCATCTTCCTCTTCTACAGGTACATAGTCATCGTCATCACTTTCACTGTCAGAGTCTGCACCTACAACAAGATCACATGATAACAGTTCATCAGCATCACTTGCCTCATCATTAGCATCATCATCTGTATATTCCTCTTGAACAGGATCATAATCATCATCATCACTCTTAGATATGTCATCATCAACACCTCTAGGAACACCATCAATAGTGCTGGCAGTAGCATGAGTATCATCTTTCTCAGCAGTAGGTTCAATAGGCTCAACATCCTCTTGAGCATCCTCTTGCTCAGGAGTAGGGGCAGTATCATGGATATCATCTTCCTCAGCATTAGGTAGAGTACCATCAACATCCTCGTGGTCACCAATAGGGGCAGTACCATCAACATGCTCTTGCTCATCACTACCTACATTTCCAGCCTCTTTGTCTCTACCAAATTCCAACTCCAAAACAAGGGAAGCATCATCTAACCCATGCTCCACATAAATGTATAACTCACCCCATTTTGCAGCTTCCTCAATCAAAACAATAGTACTTGCATCATCACTCAACAATCGTAAAGCTTCCATGGGTTCATGACATGGTTTATAATAAAGGGTCGCAATGTTGGAGTATCTATTCTTCTTAATGTACTTGAGCAGGTGAGGGTAAAAGATGTAATCTACATCAACTTCAATTCTATCTACTTCTCCATTAACATACCTCATCTTGGGCCCTCCACATCAGCGAGCATTATTTGAGCAATGAACAACCTAATTCGTATTAAGTAACACTCATTATACGAACACTTTTTAGGAAAAAATTAAATGAACTGATGGTTAAAACTTCAAATGTCAGAATTATTTACCTCTAAAAAACCCTAGCCGCACTCGTTCCCACGTGTTCTTTCTGATTCCGAGCACGCGTAGCCGGAGAAACTAACTACGAATAGATGTTCTTTGGTTCAACATTAAGGTCTCGTTCACAAGAGTGCTTAGTGTTCGAAAATGCTTGTGAAAAAAAAAACGCGGGTGTAGAAGAAAAACATTTAGGTTTTAGAGGTTCAGACAACCGTTTTGAGGAACATTCAAAATAGGCCACATGGATATTATTTATACACTTTCATTCCACGTCAACCCCGCATCAGCTTTATTAATTGCTCACTGGATGTAACCGGTGAGAAACAGGTCAAAAGGGTCCAATTGCATTTATTTTCTAGGTTAAAGTGTGTATTGGTGAGGTTAACAGGTTTAGGGGCTCAATTGCAAATATGCAAATTGTTCGGGGGCCTATTAGCCACTTTTCTCCTAGTTTAAATTGTATGAAGTCTTTATGTGTTATATGTTAATCACTTCCTAATTGCTGTGCGGCAGATAAGTACTGATTTTTATGCTTAGTATACTTATTTTGGTGCTTTATATATGTAGTGTGCAATTGATACTGATTTTTGTGTGTTATATACCCGCATAATTTGCATGAGTTTCTTGTACATCAAATATCAATTCTTATACTATGTATTTTATATATGACATGTTTCGTTTTCTTGTTTTTCAGCTAGAGTTTCATTTGGTAAGCACTAATAATTGTGCAAAGAACTTTTCATATTTTTGTGAAATGAAAATAGTAACTAACTAGTCATGCAATAATAAATACATATTCATAGTTATAATTAATTTTACCATTAGATGACCTTCTTAAATTAAATTCTATAGAGATGGATGTTCTATTATATGCTTGTCCACACCAAACTTAGGTGCACATGACATCATTCATCCATTTATCAATTAAGATTAGTGGTTACGATATGTTCTCATTTCTCACAATAACAAGAGTTGACGAATACTCTTTTTATTCGTTTGGTCCGTTCAACTGTAGTAACTTTAGATTACTAATGCATGTGTCTCATAGTCTCATGGTTACTAAAAAGGCATTAATTATACTGATTAAAATGATAAACTATTTGTGTTGGGGTCACTATTCTAAAAATCGCTCTAGGCGTCCGAATGATCCCCGCCTAGGCGCTAGGCAGTGGTCGGGCGCCCCAATTTTTGTCTAGGCGCCCTGACTAATTTTTTGGCGCCTATGTGAATTAGTCGGCCGCCTAGGGCGCCTAGTTGCCCGCCTAGAGCGCCTTATCTCCGCCTAGGGAGTCTAGAATCGCCGAACAATTTTTTCTTTTTAATTTTCTTTTTCTAAGAGATATATGTACTTTTAACTTTAGTCACAAATATGTAGAAATGTACTTGTAAATTAAGATAAAAACTATACATGTTTGTATATATACTTATATTTTATAATTATTTAATATATATAATATAATGTAGTTAAGTGATTAGTTATCATATATTATTAAATGTGACAATTCTACCATTCATGTATTTTTCATGCTCACACAAACACAATACTACCGTTTTACTACATATTACTTATCATATTTATGTAAAAATATTGATAAAAGTATAACTTATGTGTCTCCGACTAGTCCCGCCTAGGTGCCTATGCGCTAGGCGTTGTGCTGGCACCCGACTAGCGCCTAGCGCCTTTTAGAACATTGGTTGCGGTTGTCAATCTCACATGATTTCATGTACAATTGTATTGCTATTATCAGGTCAATATAAGACGTTTTCCGTATATTGATTAGGTGGTAAGTGTTGTCAAGGAAAGGGTCTCATTATTGATAACTGCCATCTATCAATGGATTGAAAACACTCTATGATTGAGTAATCGAAGGGGGATAGTTAAAGTTATAACCGTGATTGATGAACATTTCTTTAAGTGAAAATTAACAAAACCAAGTCCTTATATGATAGATATTAAATCACATAAGTCATTCATCTTAGTTTTTAACTACTCTCACGTTTAGATAGACTGAAACCCCCTTTTTATTACACTTTTATACAAGAAGAGTTACCTTTGCCTGCGGATAAAACAATTATTACACTATACTACGGTATTAGTGCGAGCTATAAATTTATTTTGAAGTACACAACAATTTTGAAAACACACTAAGATATTACTCTCTAAAAATGATGTTATAATAAATAATCAAAGAAATTAAATAGATAGTGCGGCCATTACAAATTGATGTGTAACAAAATTTCAATATTCTAAACGCATACAATGGTTGATGCTCTTTTGACTTTGTAAACACATATGTTACTACGTATAAATTAGATAGATATCTTATATAGATACTTAAAACATGTCATCAATCCAAATCAAATTAGACAATTGAGTTGGGGATAGATGGTCACATCTTTTTTCCACAAGCAATTTGAAACTACAAGTGCCAAACAAGTAAACTAATCATAATTAAACATGTAATGCAATGATACCATATTTAATTATACCTAGCTCACATAAAAATCCTTAAAGGGTGAGGCTTACCTCACCCTTTTATATAAGATATAATTTTGTAGACA